AGTATTTCTAAAAACAATTAAGAAGATTTAAAAAAAATTATAATGCGACCAAAAAGTTTGCTTTTTCTAAATTGGGTTTCATAAACCTGTTGTACCAGTAATTTTGCAAATATTGTACAGTTTCCTTATTTCGAGAGATTGGTGTGTCCCAGATAGAAATCTGTTCGAAAATTTTATTTTTTTTTTAGGGATGTTCGAGGAATTAGTATCAGGTCTGGAAATCCGTATCATATTTCCGAAACAGGTGAATTTGAGGAATAAAAACATTTTGTTCGTAAAATCGAACATTGTGTTCATAATATCAAATTTTTTGTTCATTTTATCAAACATTTTGTTCATTTTATCAAACTATCTATCTATCTATCTATCTATCAACTATTGCGATCTTACGAACATTTTGTTCGAATATATGAACAGAATGTAATGTAGTCACGGTTGCCAATAAATGGATAAATGCAACAAAATAAATTAATGAATCAGCATCTTTTGAGTAAGGGAGGGATGTGAAGGGAGGAATGGGAAGGCAGGGATGGGATGGGAAGTGAGGGATGGAAAGGATAAGATTAAATTTCCTTTACGAACGATGAGGTTTTTTTCAAACACTTTTTAGTTTAAAGAGACTTCAAGCGTAATTTCAAGTGACCCTCCATGCCAATATGTCAATGCCCAATTCACAACGCGCGGTGCCTTTATCCAGGCGCGAAGCCTAATCAATAATGTGGAAGATATTGTCGTTTTTCTAGGTTTAAATGGGTTTGATTCTGATAAGTAGGAAACATTTTTCTTCTGTAGAAATGGACAAGTAACTTTATAGGGAAACCAAAATAGAAAATAATCAGTTTTCAAGATTAAAAATATTTATTTTAAATTCATTCTTTATCAGACTAGGCTTTTTGAAAATTTTTTGAAAATCGAGCACTGCTTTCTTTGCATGGAGGGTCACTTAAACATTACGCTGAAAATTACATCATTCAACTCGGATCGTAAAATAATCAATTTTATTCCAAGCAAATCATTCAGATAGTCATCGATTATTTTTCGAATTATTCTTATATAGTTCATATTTCATAGTATTTTTTTTTTTTTTTACAACATTCCTGGAAAATACGAAAATGTCGTCTTTATTATCGAAAATCCTCGAAACAGGAATAAATGTTTTCAAAAGTAACTATCAGATCAAAAAAATTAAAAATACTATGAAATATCAACTATATACGAATGCATCGAAAAATTATCGATGAGTATTGGTTTTAATGTCTGAATGATCTGTGTGGAATTGAATTGATTAGTTTACGATCCGAGTTGAATGTTGCCACTTTCTGGATTTGTATGGACGCTGCGTTCTTCGGTATGAGTCGTTTTTAACAATTTTCTCCTTATAGACGCAACAGATAGAAGTAAGATTTTATCGCATTAAGCCTATGCCCCCTTTCATTTTTCGCGAACACTCTCTTTAAGAACTTAAAAATTTTAATAAATTTGAGCTGGGTTGCTAAACTGCCAACTGCCGGTTTAAATTTGAATCACAGATAAAAACTTAGAGATTCAGGAAGGATTTGACTCAGTGATTCAAATTAGAACCGGTAATTGGCAGTTTAGATACCCCTCAATTCATTAAATTCCCTCTCAAATTACAAATACCAGGATTGGAAATATGGAGTTTGATGCAATTGTTCCATGCAGTTCCTTGCACATTCTAATATGAGTGCGCGTCAGTCACATAAAATGCCGCAAACAATTCTAAAACATTCAGGAATGATGATGGGACTCGGGAAACGAGCCTCTCCCCCCTCCGGTTCTTCAGGTACCGTTTAACAATAAAACATATTCAACAGTTAATTACATTAATTGCTACACACGTAATTTCATTCTGTCTTGTTTTTCTTTTTTGATGTTAAATTGAAGAAATTTATTAATCGTTGCAGTTTATAAACATTGACATTAATAATTTACACAACACAGCAAACTAAACAGACCGTCAAATTTTGCGATATTACGACTTTGTGACCTCGTAGTTCCTTCAATTTATATTTTTTTTAAATGGAAGAAAACTAAATTATATGATTATTTACAAATTAGATATTCAATACATTTTATTTTCTACAATTAACTCTTCAATATTATTTGAAATATATAAGATAAGATGTCAATCATATGTACAATTTACTTTTTACCCCAAACTTTTAAAATTGCGTCTCTAAATAATAATAATGATAACATTTTGCTCAGGGTTTGGTCGATCCTATGGACGGGAAAGAGACTCCGACTGGTAATAATTATGATAATAATAATTATGATATTAACAATAATTATATTAAGACTATAAGCAAGCTACCTCCCGGGCTTGAAGATCAGATCCTGGAATATATCAACAATCTTTAAATTATTGAAGAAAATGTTAAAATTATTAATTAATTTAAATATATAGACTGTATCCTCCTCAGCCCTGACTAAAACAAAATCGAATTTTAATCGTAGAGATTTGGAAATTGTGCCAAAAGGGATTATTTAATGTTTAAAGTAAAGCGTCTGTGGTAATTCTGATAATATTTTTTTCAATTGTGATTTTTCTGTGAAGTCCTGATTGCGGGTTTCCGCTACAAAAACATTAGAAGAAATCATTAAAATGAAATACTTTTTTAATTAAGAAAAACAACGATATCTTTCACACTATTAATCAGACAGAGGTTTCAAGGGTCACTAGAATTTACACGCCTGCAGCAGTCTCCTTATATATATCTAGGTAGTATGAGAGGTATAAATTTAGTATAAAAAGGATGATACTTCAGAGACTACTGTACGGAATTCATTCATTTTATTATGTTTTAGTTTCATCTTAATTCTCTCTTTGCTAAATAAAACCCGACTGGATTTGAAAAAGAAACCATAATTTAACCTTCAAATATTAGTGTCCAACGAGTTTAAGGTCGTCATTTAATGCGTTGTGTACTCTTTAGGCCGTCTTTTAATCCGTTGTGTACTCTTTAGGACGTCTTTTAATCCGTTGTGTACTCTTTAGGACGTCTTTTAATCCGTTGTGTACTCTTTAGGTCGTCTTTTATTTCTTATAATATTTCATGGGAACACTGTATTGAGCAAAAATAAGGCAGAACATTTTATTCTCCGTGTTGAAAATGAGACTCCAAGGAAAATTTTTTAAACAAAAACGTTTTCAACGATTAACTGTTGTAGTGTCTTTTAAGATTGAAAATATTGAAATAAAAAATGTCGTTTTTGACATTGGGATAATATTGTGAACAATTATTGATATGTATATGCAGTACATCGTGTCTTGGGAGCGGGGGAAGGTATACGGCTTTAAGCCACACCATTTTCCCCATCCATGCAGCAACATATTACTTTTTTGTCTTCCGGCAGCCATGAGCCACAACCGTACGGTATTCCATGACACAGCATTTGAGTCTTCAGCGATTATTACATGTTTAAATAATAAATTTAGTGCATTGAAATTGTGATTTTCAAACTTCCAGCGACGTCATGCAAAATATACATATAAAGAACTTTATATTTAAGTTTTAAATTTAAATAATGACGATTCCTTTAAATGTAAACTGATAAACTTATTTTCTCCAAAAATAAATTCAATCTTTGCTCTAAAATGGCTTAGTTTTGTAAACATTATGAACAGTAAAAATGATTCACCTTAACATACTCCTCAAGTTCGAAGGGCGCGCACAACCAAAAATTTGAACTATTTAACCAGAAAAGTGCAAAATTGAATTTTTTTCGCGGAAATCTGAAACGCACAGGTAATGACAGCTAATATCGTGATTTTTATCATCTTTTTTTATTTTTTAGACTACACTAAACAATGCGTAAAATGATGTAACAATTTTTTTGCATAATGTAAAGCAGTAAATAAACTGAACACACAATTAATTGATCTTTAATAAACTTTAAAAATTTCTTAAAGGTATGATTTTTTGCATTATGGGCCAGGACTTTTAAAATTTGCAATTTCAGTGCCCTAAAATAATTATCTATAAAAGACGTAATAAACGCCAGACGAATCAAATGCTGTGGCATGGATGACCGTACGGTTGTGGCTCATGGCTGCCGGAAGACAAAAAAAAGATAATATGTGGCATGGAAGTTGAAAATGTTGTGACTTATGGCCGCTGCTTTCCCCTGCTCGTCTTGGCGGGATTTGTTTTGATCATAGATTATAAAATCAGTTGGTGCTCTGGTTTAAATATATCAATTAGATTTAATTGTTTTCCTTAACTGAATACTGAGAATACTACCATTATTGGGATTTATAGAATTGTCTGAAGAGTCTAAGATCCTCGGGTAAGGTTAGGTTTAGGTTGTTGGTCCAGTTGATGGCTGTTAGACGAAAATAAAATGAAAACGGTTTATAAATTTTCTAAAATAAATTACTCGATTTAGTTCTAATTACCCAGTTTCCACATCAACTGAACGGTTTCTTCTATTCTAATTCAATCGAGTTTTGTACTAAAACTCAAAAAATCTTGAACCTCGCAAAATTGTCTTTCCACACTTATTTATTGAAAAGGTGTATGCCAACAAAAAATATATAAGAGAATAGGTGAAAAATGTATGTCAAATTTTAAGTCAAAGCTTGCTGAGATAAGGACCGAAATTAAAAAAATAAATTGAGCTTAATAAGGCGTAATTTCAAGTGAACCGCCGCTTAAAGATGGCAAGGCTCTATACTCTTAAATCTTTGTCATTGTCTAATTGAAAAATCGATTTTCTTTGAGAACTGGGTATTTTCTATTTTGATGAAGTGACTTGCCACTGAAGGAAAATATAGGAAGCATCAAAATTACTAACTCTTTTAAGCGACAATATCTTCCACATTTTTGATCAGGTTTCAAGGGTACTGTTGTGAATCGGGCATGGGCATATTATTACGCTTTCAGTCCCTTAAAGCTAGGCCTTTTTATTCGGTTACAAGTCCCACACACAATTAACAGTTTTAATACAAAAACAATACTTTTATTTAACATAAAAACAGTTTAATTCATATTTACAACTTTATCACACAAGACTAATAGTCTTTTTTTTCTTTCAACAGTAATCCAACATTAAACAAAATAAACGAAAAGTTCAATTTATAATTTAGAAAAAATGTATAACATTATACGGGAATCTGATTAAATTGAATATTACACTATTGTTTCATTTTACAATTTATCTCTAATTGATTCGTTTAATTCCCTTAACATTTTCTTGTGTCTAAAATATGGACGACTCACTTCAAGTAATAAAGACAGTAGACTGTCTAATTAATACAGACAGAAGACTCATCTAAGTACTTTTCAGGAGGTTATTTCCTATCTCCCAGATCATCCGTTGCCTACATACAGATATACTTAATATTAATTCAGGGGGAAACTAAGAATAAAAATATGCAAAAATATGAATAAAAAATGAAGACAGATACTGCTCAAGAAATAGAAAACGAATTATAAAACATTCAGTAGCTTCAATATTGTTCTGAACATCCTCCCTCTCTCCATAAATAAAATAAATTAATTAAAATTTGGTCATGTATAAAGTGGATAAAAACGCTTTACTTAACTATTTGTAACACTGATATTTTGGTTCTCAGTGTTTTAAAGTTTTTGGACAGACATTTTCTCTTCATCGAGAAGGTTCTCGCCTTTTTAGATTTAATTTTGTCCCGAGCTGTAGCGAGGGACAATTTAAACCTAAAAAGGCGAGAACCTTCGAGAAATAGAGAAAATCTAAGTCCAAAAACATCTAGCAAATCGTGCCAAAATAATAGTGTTTTAAGTAAATTTATAAACCGTTTGTGTACTTGTCATATTTCAATGGCTATTTCTAGATTAAATTAGCTTTGAAACAAAGCAGAAGTCAAAATATTAAGTTGATTTCAATTTTATTTTCATTCCATTGAAAAAAATATTTTGGAAATATCGTAATCCGGAAACCAATCAAAACTTTATAGCACATGTGCAATAATGTACAGCTAATTTAACTTTATGTAGCACGATTATCACTTTATAGCACGTTTATTATAAAATTCACGATGAAGTGAGGAAGAATGATAAAGTACACAATAGTTTCATAAAACATTTTTTAAATCGTCCGGTGCCACAATTGAAAATGTTCAGTTCACAAAATTATTACCATTGATATCTTAATGATACTTATTCAGATAAAGATTTAAGGGTACCGTTGTGAATCGGGCATTGCAATCTTTGAATGGAGATTGACTTGAAATTATGCTTACAGTCCCTTTAAGAGGGAGGCATTACTTCTATGTTTTTCTGCAATGGAAATAAATAGAAAAATTTCTTCTCCCTATATTTACATCCAATTTGTAAGGAGTGTGAACTCTGTAATTGGAAGTATGATTGATATGAGAATACATCTTTAGAATTTTATGTCCAGGATGCATTGCTCAGGATCTATTTCATTTTCATCCGGATCCAGGTTCTGAACCTTTTCATCAAGATTTTCTGATTTTTTAACAAATGGAATTTTTACTTCTTTTTTTCACTGAAACTTAGTGAACCATTCAAAAGTTGAATTTTTTTTGGGTTATCTTGATATTTTGCTCCTTGGATCCGGGTATAAGGTCTGTGTGTGTAAGGGAATTGAGAGAAACATCTATTAAGCATCAAATTATTTTCTAATAAACAATAACAAACGAAAACATTATTGAAAAAGAATAAAAAGAATGAAAAAAATGAAGGCAGGGGAGAAACATATTAAAAAGTTCATTAACAAGTATAAATAACTTACATGGTTCCCCATAAAGGATGAGACTGTAAAGACGACTTGAAACTTTAAATTCGACGATCAAAATTTTGAATTATATCCCGACCTTGAATGTGGTCTAGGAATGGCTTATTTAATAATTTGATAAAGAAATAATTAAGTTTACAGTTGCAGGGTATCATATAAGGAAACAGGCAGTATTCACTCTGTACAGTCGTCTTTGAAGTTGAAGTTGAATGGATGTCTATCATCTGTTATATTGTTTACAAAAACAATAAACTTTTTCTAACTAGTTTACACATTGTTATGCTTAATTCAATGTTTTTCTTTCGAGTGCTTTAGAACTTTCCAAACATAAACAAAGATGAAGAAAACAAAGAAGACAATTGAACACTTTTTCGGATGAAAAAAAACTTCTCAAAATTAACAGATATTACTCAAACAAGATATTTTCTATTTTCCTTGTATTTCACTTCCGTACATTGAAACGGACCAAGGGTACGGGGGGGGGGGGGGATTTTCTGGGTCAAAACCAGGAGCAAAAGGCAAAACTACATTTTGGAAATCTCGAAATAAGAAGCTTGTGATGCTACTCATTATATAGATTATAGATATTAGATACTGCATTTCGTTTCTTCTTACTTCAGGGCCCACCCCACCATTTTTCTTTGGGACCTGAACTGCATTTCAATTTTGTAAGTACAATTTTTTTAAGAATGAACGAAACAATGAAAAAGTGTTTGATTTCCGAAAAATCTAGGGTCCATTGAGCTTAATAAGCGGTGAAGTCCGTCTGTAAAATTATATATTTTGAAATTCTACAAGCCGACTCGGAACAGTGTGAATAGGTAGATAGTGTCAAGTCTTTAAGCAAGCCCTGCTAAAAAACTTTTCGCATGCGGCTCAGCGCGCAACAATGTGAATACATTTTATATAAATAAAGACATCTCCGNTTCCTCCTTTCATTTTTCGTGAAAAATCCCTTTAAATAAACTAGCTTCTAAAAAATATAAAGATAAGATGATTAATAAATTATTTGCTAAGAATGATAAGTATATTCCTGAAGTAGGGCATATCGTTCTGTGTGAACTTTAGTTGTACATCTCTTGACAGGTATTCAACCACCTAAACATAGGTTTATATCAAGGTTATTTATTAAAGTTAGTTACTAGGGATGCGCTCCAATGTATGGGAAATAGCAATGGACACTGCACCATGTAACTGATTATTGCCGGGAGATTGAAGTGACAACATTGTTGGTGAGAGGGGGTAACGCTTTTTTGTTAATGTATTATACAAGCGGAGAAAATCCTTTCCACCCTCTCACCAACAACATTGTCACTTCAATCTTCCGCCAATAATCCTTTCCACCCTCTCACCAACAACATTGTCACTCCAATCTTCCACCAATAATCCTTTCCACCCTCTCACCAACAACATTGTCACTTCAATCTTCCGTCAATAATCCTTTCCACCCTCTCACCAACAACATTGTCACTTCAATCTTCCGCCAATAATCCTTTCCACCCTCTCACCAACAACATTGTCACTTCAATCTTCCGTCAATAATCAGTTAAGTCATATAAAGATTTTGAGTGTCCATTGATATGAAGAAGACAATACCTTACAGACGAAGAGACCACAATCACTACCATTCTCTTGCTGGGGACAGCTGTCTACAACTTCTTTCACGTACTTACTGTACAATACAAGGTCATTAGAAATAATGTTACATCCTGAAAGGTAAAATTGTGATCAAAGGATTTTGTGTTCAAAATCATTTTTAAGCCTGTCCATACATTGGTACACAGACTGTTGGTATGAGCTAACCCATCTGTAAATCCATTGTCCATTGGTATAAGCTAACCCATCTCTATGTCCATTGGTATGAGCTAACCAATTAGTATGTCCATTGTCATGTGCTGACTTAATTGTATGTATGTTAATATTACCTAACCCAACTTTTTGTCTATTGATAATTTAAGCTAACCCATCTGTATGTCCATTGTCCATGGGAGCGAGCTGACAAATTTGTATGTCTATTAGTATGTGCTAACCAATCTGTATGTCTTTATGGCTATTGGTATTTGCTAACTTATTTGTATGTCTATTGGTATGAGCTAATTTATCTGTATGTCCATTGGTATTTGCAAACTTATCTGTACGTCCACTGGTATTTGCTAACTTATCCGTATGTCCATTGGTACTTGCTAACTTTTCCGTATGTCCATTGGTATTTGCTAACTTATCTGAATGTCTATTGGTATTTCCTAACTTATATGTGTTTCTATTGGTATGAGCTAACTAATCTATATGTCCATTGGTATTTGCTAACTTATCTATATGTCTATTAGTATGAACTAACATATCTGTATGTCTATTGGAACGAGCTACCTTATCTGCATGTCCATTGGTATTTGCTAACTTATCTGCATGTCTATTGGTATTTGCTAACTTGTATGTATTTCTATTGGTATTAGCTAACTTATCCATACGTCCATTGGTATTTGCTAACTTATATGCATGTCTATTGGTATTTGCTAACTTATATGTATTTCTATTGGTATGAGCTAACTTATCCGTATGTCCATTGGTATTTGCTAACTTCTCTGAATGTATTTTGGTATTTGCTAACTTATCTGTATGTCCATTGGTATTTGCTAACTTATCTGCATGTCTATTGGTATTTGCTAACTTATCTGTATGTATATTGGTATTTGCTAACTTAACTGCATTTCTATTGGTATTTGCTAACTTATATGTATTTCTATTGGTATGAGCTAACTAATCTATATGTCCATTGGTATTTTCTAACTTATCTGTATGTCTATTGGTACGAGCTAACTTATCTGTATGTCCATTGGTATTTGCTAACATATCTGCATGTCTATTGGTATTTGCTAACTTGTATGTATTTCTATTAGTATTAGTTAACTTATCCATATGTCCATTGGTATTTGCTAACTTATCTGCATGTCTATTGGTATTTGCAAACTTGTATGTATTTCTATTGGTATGAGCTAACTTATCTGTATGTCCATTGGTATTTGCTAACTTATCTGTATGTCCATTGGTATTTGCTAACTAATCTGTACGTCCATTGGTATTTGCTAACTTATCTGTATGTCTATTGGTATGAGCTAACTTATCCGTACATCCATTGGTATTTGCTAACTTATCTGCATGTTTATTGGTATTTGCTAACTTATATGTATTTCTATTGGTATGAGCTAACTTATCTGTATGTCCATTGGTATTTGCTAACTTATCTGTATGTCTATTATTATAAGCTAATTTATCTGTAAGTCTATTGGTATTTACTAACTTATCTGTATGTCTATTGGTATTTGCTAACTTATCTATATGTCTATTAGTATGAACTAACATATCTGTATGTCTATTAGTATGAGCTAACTTATCTGTATGTATATTGGTTTTTGCTAACTTATCTGTATTTCCATTGGTATTTGCTAACTTATATGTATTTCTATTGGTATGAGCTAACTTATCTGTATGTCCATTTGTATGAGCTAACTTATCTGTATGTATATTGGTATTTACTAACTTATCTGTATGTCTATTGGTATTTGCTAACTTGTATGTATTTCTATTGGTATGAGCTAACTTATCTGTATGTCTATTGGTATGAGTAAACTTATCTGTATGTCTATTGGTATTTACTAACTTATCTGTATGTCTATTGGTATTTGCTAACTAATCTGTATGTCTATTGGTATTAACTACCTTTTCTGTATGTCCATTGGTATTTGCTAACTTATCTGTATGTCTATTGGTATGTGCTAACTTATCTGGTGTCTATTGGTATTTCCAAACTTATCTGTATGTCTGTTGGTATTTCCAAACTTATCTGTATGTCTATTGGTATTTTCTAACTTATCTGAACGTCCATTGGCATTTGATAACTTATATGTATGTCTATTGGTATTTGCTAACTTATCTGCATGTCTACATTGGTATTTGCTAACATATCTGTATGTCCATTGGTATGAGCTAATTTATCTGTATGTCTATTGGTATATGCTAACTTATCTGCATGTCTATTGGTATTTACTAACTTATCTGCATGTCTATTAGTATGAGCTAACTTATCCAATGTCCATGAGTTAACTTAATCTTATGTCTGTTAATGTTAGATAACCCAATTGTGTGTCTGTTGATAAGAGCCAACTTATCTGTTTGTCTACTAATATTTGCTAACCGATCTGTATGTCCATTGACTATTGGTAATAGCTAACTTGTCTTATGTTCATTGGTATGAGCAAACATGTCCATTGTAAATTGGTATGAGCTTACAGATCTGTATGTCCTTTGCCCTTAGTATGAACAAACTTTTCCATTGTCCATCGGTCTGAGCTAACTTATTCAATGTCTATGGGTATGCAATAACTTGTCTATTGTCCATTAGTCTAACATATCTAATGTCCATTTTTGATGCCCAATGCTGTTAACTGACCTAAGATCCAACTGTAGATTTTTCTTATCCATGTATTCCTCTTTAAGATAATTTATTATCTGTGATAGGAAGGATTTAGCCAATATCACATCTTCATCCTCTCCTAATCATAAATAATTATAGATAGTTAGGGGTAAATACCAGCATTATTCTAAACCTGAATATTCTTTCCACTATTTTTTTCTGTTTCTTATTATAATAATATTAATAATATTATTATAATAATCTTGTGGAGTTCAGTTTAAACACATTAAGAAATTTCCATCTAAGAATAATTTTATTAAAAATTTTGTTAAAAATTATTCTAGTAAATTCTTTAAATATCAACCAATCAATCAATTTATCCATCAGAGCTTTAGGGAGCCTTAATATCCACGTATCAATCTCAAGAAGAAAATTACAATTTTACTATTTTATTGAATTCGATGTCCACATTTTTTCCTAAAGCGCAATAAAGTCAAAACATATTCTAATTAATTTTTTTCAAAATTAAATATATTTTTGTTGTCTGGACGAAATTTTGATGGTTTACCTCGTAAGCTGTCATAATAGAAAACTCCTGGAACTCTGAACAAAATAATTTTATACTTTAAGAACACTAAACGCGTAATTTCAAAGATAACAATCCTGTTGTCTGATCAAGTATGAATTAGATATTAATGTTTATAATTTATAAAACTGATAATTTTTCACTGTATATTGTCTACAAAATTGACTTGCCAATTTCTACTGGAGGAGAGCATTTAAGTATTATCAGAAATAAACACTTTTTTATTTAGAAAAACGAAATTGCCCTCTTTACATGTAGGGTCACTTGAAATTAGGCGTTAATCCCTTTAATCAAGACAATAATGTGTAATGTAATGCGAGTTCCTCTCGGAGCAAATATGGGTCAGTTTACTTGACCCAACTGACCTGCCAGATTTGGAAAACCACTGTTTTTGAGCAAAAAACATACTAATTTTGGAGAATATTTGCCCATTGAGAGAACAAATCTGCCGATTTAGGGGAAAGTATATCATGCCAATTTTGGCCGAAAATACCAATCTGCCAAACGAAATATAAATGAGTTTAAAATCTGCTACAAAATATTGTTATAAGATAACAAATGCTATAAGAAATACACAGTAACACATTAAAATCTGCCACAAATGCAATTGAAGCAACAATGAATGTAGTAGCAATGAAGAGAAGACGAAAAATGAGTTTTTAATTTGAAAGTTTACGCTGAGGTCTAATCTTTTGGAGGGAAAGTGCTGAAAAAACATATTTTAACTTAAACTTTAAATCAAATTTAGGTTTAAATCCAGGAAAAAAGGGGAAATATTCCCAACACATCAGTTAAACATCCAGGGACCGAATTTAATAAATTTGAGCTCCCTCGCTGAACTACTTACTGACGGTTCAAATATGAACCACCGATTCAAAAGTTAAAGATTGAGGAAGAATTTGAATCAGTAATTCAAATTTAATCCGGCGACTCCGCAAATTCATTAAATCGTTATTATAATCGTTATGAACATCAAAGCGCATGATTGCTTTATAGCACTGCTTTAATATAACTGACCCCAAACTGACCCCAAACTGACCATGAATGATAAAGTGCACTAAATTTCATAAAAAAATATTATTTACCTAAAATCTACAATAATCACAGCCCAATGAATATCCATATGATGAACTGGGATACAGAGCATATCATAGGAGAATATGTCCACATTCTAATCAAATACCATCTCAATAATATTAAATAAAAACAGTCAGGGGATTTGTAATGGTAAAGGTCAATGTCAAGGTCGGTCGAGTTCAAGGTCAAGGTCAAGTCAGGCGGGAGCTTTAATAAATAAGATAAAGATTTATCAATGAATAATTAGATAATCAATTTGTTATTACGCTTGGGATCTTGTCATTTGGATGTAGATTCGGCTCCATACACTAAAAGATTGGATCCATTGACTTCTTGCTACTTGACTCTGGATCCATGGTGGGACTGTACGCGTAATTTTATTGTATACTTGTTCAGACAAAAATTTCAAGGGTACCGTTGTAAATCGGACATTGCCACCTTTGTATGGAGGGTTACTTACTCTTAGTCCCTTAAAGCACTGTTTTTATCTCCGGTTTGATGTTGATAGGACCATTTTTAGTCAGTGTCAAACTTTTCATTGAGAAAAACCCCGGTTACTTTTTTCGGATTTGTTTGTACTGTTGGGTAAAGTTTGAAAGTTTATTAAAAATGACTGGGCATTGACTAATGGTCCTTTTTCCCGGGCGGTGAAAAAACAACTTAAACATAAAAACTGAAAATTATAAAATCATATCTTTTAGAGAGTTTCGAAAGTTCACTTAAATACTTTGAGCAAAAAATGAACCAAAAAAATTGATATAAGTGAGATAAAAAAGAAAAAAGATAAACTTAAAAACTATAAATATGTAGAATCAAATCTAACAATTAGATTTTTTTTAAAGAAACAATTATATATTTTTTTTCTAGCCAGATTTATCGTTGTAAATATGTCATGTATCTCTTTATGGATACTTGAGATTACGTTTACTGTCTATTAAAACTTGTTTCTCTTCTAAATAGAGGGAACTTTTTGTCTTCTTTTTTTAATTTAGTCGTAAATAATTTTTTAAAGTGCAACATTTTACATCATCTTTGTACTCTTTGTAATAACAATTCGTCAGATGTCTTTGTTATAATTCTGTAGAGATGTCAAAAGTCTGAAGAACTTATTTCATTTATATTGTATAGTTTTTAGCAAAGGAAATATATTGACATTCTTTGCCCGTTCTCTCTCGGTTCTCTCCCCCCCCCCCCGCCCCTCCACATTATGAAAAATAGCAAACTTTCGTGATTTTACAATGCGAGGTTAGTTAGATTGAAGGGGCGCAATTTTAAGCCCCCCTCCCTTGAAAAGAAGGTGATGCCAGACTTATAACGGTATCCTTGGAAGCTTTGTCTGATCAATTAGTTTAAGTTAGATTTATAGTTTATCTACGAAAGTGACTTGCGCATTTCTTTCTTCTAATAAGCAATGTGAAAACTCACGGAAATAAACAGTTTTCGAAAACACGAAGACATTTTCCACATTTTAATCAGATAATGATTTTCAGGGTAATGCCGTAGTAAATCGGGCATTGTCATCTTTGCATAGAGGATCATTTGAAATTTTGCTTACAATCCCTTTAAGATAGAATAATACAGAAAAAAGAAGGAGGAGGAGGAGGGGAGGGGGGGTCATGCCACATTTTTTAACGAGAGTATTTTCCTTAGTCCAGTTCTTCACCTTCTCATACCCTCCTAGACAGGAATACATTTATTCATTTTACCATACATTCATTTATGTAGAAACCATTTTTATGTAATTATCATATTGTATTATGTACTTCAATCTATTTTAGTATCTAGGTTATTCAGGTACTAATGTGCATACATTATTTCATTCATTTTGTAACAAACATTCATGTATGTAATTACGTTTTTATATAAAAATATATAAATCAATTTGATTAGATAATGTACAAAAACTTAATCTTTTTATTTATGCACACATCATATTAATTATATTCTTATTTATGTACATACGATTTATTTAAGTTTCTTATTTTTGCATACTTTAAGCTATTACACGAATAATTATGTATTTATACACTTTTGTACAAAATAAATACAATCAAAATCATGTCAAAAACGTCATCGCAAAAAATATGCAGGCATGCAAACGTAAATTAAACAATTGAAAAATGAATCGCTTTGCACCAAATGGAAATATTTTGTCGTCCATTTAGGACTACTAATAAAAGGTAACAAGGTTCTATTTTAGTGATTTAATTTATAGGAATTAGTAAGAGAGATAGAAGTTAATGTCTAATGACTTCTCACGTTTGTCAAATTTAATATTTTTGAATTTTTTCCTTGAACACGTTGTTATTTTTCATTATCATATAATTCAGCTCTTATACATTACAATGCTAAACACATAGTTTATTTCAATTCTTTAAATATTCAAAGGGTCTTTCAGCTAATTTCAAGTGAGTCTGTTTGAAAATGGCTAGGCCACATTCACAAGAGAACCTTCAAATAGCTTTGTCTGATAAAGAATAAATAAGATACAAATGTTTATAATTTTATAGACTAATTATTTTCAATCTTTTGTTCTCTACATATTTGACCTGAGCAGGAATACATAAAAATAAATACTTTTAAACCTAGAAAAAACGTCAATATTTTTCAAATTACTAACAGATAAAAGTTTTAAGGGTACCGCTGTGAATGGGCATTGCCATCTTCTCGTGGATGGGTGGTCAACTTGAAACTAGTTTGAGACTCAGAAGTGAAAAATTTGAAAAAACGTCATATTTGACAGAAATTATTGTTGTTTATGGATTTCTAAAAAATACCAATGGAAACCTATTACACACTGCTAATGATTATTAAAAATTTTTGAATAAAAAAATATTTTTCATATTCATTTTTAGTTGGTTAGTTTGTTGGACTTGACAGTGTGTAAAGGATTAAAAATTATATGACAAATTTACATTTTAAGCTCCAAAATTTTACTTACTTTTGCTGTTTTATTTGAATTTTTGAAGGTTGGATTAGATTTATTATTAATTCATAGCTTAGACTGAGGTTATATTGAAGATGAATGTTATACTTGAAAGCACTTGAAGTAACGCCATGGTAAAATTAGTTGGTTCCCAAAGTTTGGATAGAAAATTGTTTAAACTTTACAACAGTGCATAAACTTGTTTCCAATGAACAAAGAACATTAATCAAAATGATATTCAGCCCCCATCTCCTCTAATTATGCGCCAAATTAAAATTTTAAGAGAAAGAGTAATTTCGACGTAATTTCAAAAATTGCATGTAATTTTAATATTGACAACGATTCCCTCTATTTGCATAAATCATCAAACCACTTTTATAAAGAAGCCACAATTTAAAATAATCAGTAAAATAAGGATATCTTTTCCATTTTTGATTAGAATAAGGTTTATATTGTGAATTAGAAGTGTCACTCTTTAAGCTTCTTATAATACGTTGATACTACCCTATCAATAAACTAAGTCTATACAAAACGAACACACACAAATATTTTAAGCAAATTAAATTCGGTTTAATTATGATAAAAACTAAAAATGATTAAAAAACATACCCAAACATAGCCTTGTGAAAAAGTATGTATTCATAGGGTACAAACTGGGAAAGCGCAACTTCCTAAAATAATTGTTAAAACTAAATATATGTATGAACGTAATCCAATTCCAGACAAAGTTTGTGAAATAAATTTTAAGTAAAAAACACACTTACTTGAAACTCTCTTCTTTGCTCCTAATCCAAAAATTTATAATTATAAAAAAAGAGAAAAAGCAATGTAGTTTGTTTACACCAAATGAATACTAAATTTCTTTTCATCTGATTTCACAAAAGTTTTTGCGGATTGGTATTAACAACTTGTTTTTTTCCACAGCCAGTCCGCCAATTTACAACTTCAGTTAACTGTAAATTACTTTTAGTTACTTAAAAAAACATGCATCTTTAAATATATTATTAGAATATATTATAATTTATGGATTTCCCTGTTGGCCACCATCTGAAGATAGAATTCGATAATCTGATCGTTCAGCCACCGCAAACCTAACAAATATTTATTAATGCTTTTCTGAACGAAAGATTTAGAAATAACCAATTGAACATTAGTTCACCACATTTCGTAGTAAAAGCCCACTTATCGGTAAGTCCATAATTTCTATCAAATAAACATGACGTTTCTCAAGAAAATCGATATTTTCTTTGTGTGGAAAATTTGAAAAATTAGAAATGGTAATTCCCTTTATACCTTCGCTAAAAAATGTAATCTGCTGGGCTGAAGCTGAACTTTTTATGTTATCTAATATTGTGTCCAATTTTGGAGTGGTAAAGTTTCTTTTGTCGAAACAAATTGAAAGTAAATACTAATTTTAGATCGCTAAAGCGAAGAAAAGGTAAAGGTAAATGCTTGAGATTCAACTGAAACCGCAACTCTCAATTTATAAATTTATAAAGTTTCAACAACAAAGCTTCTAAAACTTTAAGGTGTAGCAGCCGTAGAAATGGGTGCATTCGACTTTTTTTATTTGACTATTGCAATCTTAAATTGAAAGACTATTGCAATCTCAAATTGAAAGACTATAGCAATCTCAAATTGGAAGACTATTGCAATCTTGAATTGGAAGACAATTGCAATCTCAAATTGGAAGACTATTGCAATCTCAAATTACATTATCACTTAAGCTACGCCAACAAATTTCCTATAAAAATTTAATTGATTGTTAAAGGAACTGAAAGCACAATCTTACAATCCATGCTAAGATGGAAGTGTCTGATTCATAACGGTACACTTGAAACCGTTTTACGATATGGAAGATATTGTAATTTTTCTTTTTTTCGTTTTCAAATTTATAAACATTGATATCTAATTCATACCAAGGTTTCAAGGGTCGGAGTGAATCGACCATCTATGCCATCTATGCATGTAGGGTCACTTGAAATCAGGGGTACAGTCCCTTTAATAATACCTGTCAAAGTCAAGAGATCATGCTGGGATATTAGTATACCATTCATCCTAAACACAATTTATATGTATTTATACAACTGGCTTTACTACCATAATTGCCCACATTGAAGAGGGGGCATTACTTCTTCCCCCCCCCCTTTATCATACTCAGAGACATAAGGGAAAGGATAAAAAATTATAAAATAAAAAAGAGAAAAAAATAATTGAAGAAACTACAAAAAACTCATAAGTGTTGAATAAAACATGATCAAAAGTGAGTTACCAGTCACCCCACCTTCTTCAGAAATACAAGAAAATCTTGTAAAGTGTGGCTGAAAAAAAGCTTTCAGAACGTCACCTCCTCTATTTGGAAATAAACCGTTAAAAAATACATAACTCCCCCTGTACAGTGTACAGTGTACAGTCAGTAATGTTGAGAACAAATACAGGGCCTGAGGGCATAGCCTTATTGTTTTTGCTTCATCACAATTTTCTAATTAAGTATCCACTATTAACCCTCAGGGAGATGTAATAAATAAATAAATAAGTGCTTAAATCCGGATATATCTGCAATAGTTTTGGTAAGTGTATCCGGAACTGTCCTACTATCAACCCGGGAAGTGGCCTAATATCAACTCCGAAAGTGGCCTAATTTATCTCCGGAAGTGGCCTAATTTCACCCCCGAAAATGGCCTAATATCAACCCTGGAAGTGGCCTAATTTCAACCCGAAAGTGACCTAAAATCAACCCCGGAAGTGGCCTAATATAACTCCGGAAGTATCATAATATAAACCCCGGAAATGGCCTTATTTCAACACCGCAAGTAACCTAAAATCAACCCCGGAAGTGGCCTGATATCAACCTCTGAAGTGGCCTAATTTCAACCCCGGAAGTGACCTGATATCAACCCCGGAAGTGGGTAATATCAACCAAAATAACCTAGAATGAAGTTTAAAAATTCAGAACTTCTGTTTTGTGAATCTCGGGATCAAACATGAATCTGCTAATTCAAATACTTTTTACAAAACAAAATGACTTTACATACAATACGTTTCAAATATTTCTCGGAGCTTATGGCGGCCCTGTCCCCCTCCCTCGTCAAAGGGGAGGGGGACAGGGCCAGGGACAGGGACAGACAACTACAAAAAACTTACTTGACAATGATCTCACTCTCCTTCTTCCTGAGTTGTTCCAGGTTATAATCATGCATCTCATCAGATATAGACTCATACCTGTTATCCCACCGTAGGTCATCCTAAATATTCTATCATTCATTCATTCATTCATCCTTTCATTCATTCATTCATTCATTCATTCATTCTTTCATTCATTCATTCATTCATTCATCCTTTCATTCATTCATTCATTCATTCATTCATTCATTCATTCATTCATTCATTCATTCATTCATTCATCTATACGGAGCAAACAGGCTTTTTGGACCTAATCGGACGGTGGGACGTAAAATATTCTCACACATGTT